CTGGGCGGGGGGCCGGGGCCCCGCCGTGTGCGTGGGGAGGGGGATGCAGGCAGATGCCATTTGAAGGTCGTAGGGAAACACGCCTTAAAAATAACCCTGCAAGGGGGAACGGGAGGAAAATCCCGCTCCTGCCCGCTCCCACTTCTCAGTGACAGGAGAAACTTGGGGGGTTTGCCCTGCCTGCCCCCCTGCCTGCCCCCGGGAGTCTCCCTTGCGTCTCCTCCAGCCCCTTACGGGACGGGCAGGGGGAGATGCAGGCAAGCCCTGCCTGCTGCTCGCCCCTTGCCTGCACAGGCATTGCCCCGCTCTGCCCGCGAGGTTTTTCCCAGTTTTCCCAGTGCCTGCTCCCGGGAGAGGCTTGCGATGTCGGCAGGAGGAAAAGGGTTTGTGGTTTCTTGTGGCACTTCCAAAACTGCTTGTCCTCACTGCCAGCACGCTCCGGCTGGGAAACCCTTCCATCGGAGCCAGCCCGCGCTGCCCGCACCCATCGTGGGGACCCGAGTGGCTTTGTGGGGCGCTGGCTCTTGGGTGATGCTCTACGGGAAGGACCCTCCTGCAGCCAGAAGATGCTTTTCCCAACCAACCAACACAGCCCAGAAGGAATAGGAGAGTGTGGCGGGGAGGAAGGCTGCCTCCTCCTCCTCTCTTTTAAGAGGGGATGAAGCCCCAGGGCCTGGCTGCTCGCCAGCGCTCAGCCGGCTGCATTAAATAACCCAGAGCTCTTCCCCATCCTCCTGGGGGTCTGGTTTGTGGGTGCTGCGGGCCGGCACCTCTGTTTCCGCGGGGAAGCGGGTGCGTGCGGGGCGCTCGCCCGGCTCCCCCGGCAGCGGTTATTCCCCTCCTGAAAAGGCAGATGCGACTTTGGTGTTTCCGAGGAGGCTGCTGAGCCGCTGTTGCGAAGACCATCAGGTGTGTGATTTACTCATCCAAACGGTGATAAATATTGTGGCTCCTGGCGATGCCGCGTGGTGGATCAAAGGGTGGTTTATTAAAGCCGAATATTGCGCTTTGCTATTGATCCAGGGAAGCCCAAGCTCTGCCCGTGGCTCCTCTCCATCGCTGGGTGCCCGCGGGGCCGAGAGGTGTGTGCGGCCGTGCCAGCGTCTCCAACACCTGTGGCGGGCGTGGGGGTCGGCTGTGTGGGTGATTGCGCCCCCACAAATAAGCTTTTTCCCTTCCCCATTTTAGTTGCTGGTTAGTGGATGGCAACGAAGGCAGTTGCTGGCATTTGCTGAGGGCAATTAGGCAGGAAGGGTTATGAGCTTGTTAAATGTCAGGATGGGAGGTGATGGGGTGCTGGGGTGCTCCTGGGGACCACAGGGGCTGGAGGAGGCAGCTCCAGGGGACGTCTGGCATCCTCACCTGGAGGGGACCGAGGCCTCTCCT